CCTTTACTTGGCTGTACTGATGTTTTTACTCATTGGGTGATGTTTAACTAACAGATGTACCCTCAGACCTTCAGACTGAGTTCTCTACAGGCTTCATGTATTTCGTGTTTTATTCACGACCATCGATTCACCAAATCTTCTTCCTCAGCTGCGCCTAAAGGCTTTTTTTTGGAAATATTTAACCTTTTCCCCCACATTTCCAGTTCTTCTCATGAAAACACAGCTGTCCCGCTCATTTCATCGTTTTTCATGGATAAATATTGATGAATACGGCTTTAAAATATGTTTTTTTTAGGGGAAAAACGTCTAAAAACACAACGCAGCTGTCTTCTAGTGACCCTGTTAATGTTTCCCGGGTTTGATTGAAGCCTCCTGCACTGATTTTGTTAAATATGCAGCTGAATGAAAGCAAACCTGGACCGTGCGGCGCTCTGAGCTGTTTGTTGGGCAGCTTTAAAGGTCTTTTCCTCGCACTTGACAAACAGACGACGGAGGCAGCGACGCCGAGGCAGCAGGCCTTTATTAGCTCCTTCACCGGGGCTTTAATGTGACATTTATCAGTCGCTCTCGCCCTTCAATACTTCCATCAGCTAAAGGTCAGGCTCCCTCTCAGGTGTTCGGGCCCCTAACCAACGTTTAAATATCTGCCGCCCGGGGGCACATGGGGATACCCCGTCATTACTCTACCTGCACTGTAAAAACCACTCACCTTGAAACAACTGAGAACCCGGCTGCCGTAGGAAGGTTCAGCTGTTTGCTCACATAAGAAACTCAGAACAAACAGTTCTTTCATCGAGTTTATATTTAAATAGGTTCAATCAACAAGTAAAAACAAGAAATGTGAAGTTGTACAAACCTAAACTAGAGCTGAAACGACATCAAATGAAGAGTTCAACAATTTCTGTTGCGGTCCAGTGGAGCAAAACTGCAAAAATTAAAAGTGGTTTGAGCTTCCTGAACTGATTTAGTCATATTTAGTTCTGCAAACATTATAAAAGTTGGCATCTTATTGAATTAACTCCTGTTTTTAAGGCAGCCAGGTTACTTTATCAGTTTAGTTTTATGAAATGGTGATTTCATTCAAATGTTTTGAAGTGCGAGCCCGCCGCGAGCCGCCTGCAGCTCATTTGCATAAATTAGACTTGACTTCTACTTTATGCAAATGAGGCGCGGGGAGCGGAGGTCCGACGCCTCGCGACACTTTCAGCTAAACCAGTCGTTGCTGAACTAAAACAAGGACACATTCAGCAGCTGCACAGCCTGTTCCTCGCCTCAAAGGTTTTCAGAAATACTTTTCGCTGAACGGTTTGTGGCCAAGCCGCCATGTTGGTCCGGTTTGAAATCGCACACCGCTAGCGAGTCGGCGCGATTGTCCAATCAGGTGCAGGCAGGACAGAAGGAGAAGAAGCTGAGGTCTTCAGAGTTCAGTATAGACTCCGCCTACTGGGCCGCTTGTGACACGCCTCCGAAACGGGCGATTTTGGGAAGCGACGCGATCCAGCGCCAGTGGACACGTAGCATCAGTGGCGCCTCCTCTGGTCTCTATAGTATTAAACAGTGAGAGGCTCCACCTGGTGGAACAATCAGGTACTACAGCTGGTCTATGATACATTTATTGACATACGTTACCTTTTTCTTTCTTGTGTTTTCAAAAAAATCTAAATCAAAAATCTTTTTTTTTTTGTCCCCAATTTGATCCGAGTCAATTAATATATAGCATCTGTGGCTAGCGAGTCCCAACCTGAAACCATTTTCCTCAATAACACACACTTAAAACACATGACAGTCATTAAGATGAGTCCAGTGTCGATGCTCTGGATGGCACTACAAAACGCATTTCTGTCTCCCGTCTGTTCCTTCATGTTCTGTAGGTGGAACCTTGTCGTAAAGCTCCAGTAGAACCCTGTTTAAATGTGCTGTTAGAGGGTAGAACACCTGTATTCTCTACATCAGTGGTTCTCAAACTGGGGGTTGGGACGCCCATGGGGGTCACCAGATCATTGTAAAGAAAGAAAAATAAAAATAAAGCCTGCATTTATCAAATAAATGTGTATTCGGGCTGTCAGAATTCAAAGTGTATGCTTCTCCCTGCTCCTTTTTTAAACTTGTTAATATCATGATTTGATTATGAGATATTATTGTTCTTTTTGCTCTTTTTAAAAATCATTTTCTTTTGTTTTAATATTTTTTGTTCCCTTTCATTTGTTTGAAATAAATTCAATTCATTAATTTAAAAGAAAATCAACGTGTTAATGTAAAGAGATTAATCTGTGGAGTTAACATTCATTTTTAACGGATTAATGCACAAACAACAAAGTTACTACTCATGAGATATTAAAAATTCAAAGTGGGGGTCACGAAGACAAATTTTAGTTATCTTGGGGGTCGTGGCTCAAAATGTTTGAGAACTGCTGATTTACAATATGTTAGTAAACGCATCATAGACCAGCTGTAGTACCTGGTTGTTCCACCAGGTGGAGCCTCTCACTGTTTAATCCTGTAGAGACCAGAGGAGGCGTCACTCAGACTACAGCTCATGGTGGCAGCAGAGAGCATTGTGGGAGTTCAGCAGCAGCGGGACCATGACAGAGACTCTGAGGAGGTTCAGGACCTCCGACAACAGCTGGAAACGACTAAAAACAAGCATTAAAGTCGTTTTTTCAGCATCAATCAGGTGTTTGTTGACTTTAACAGTAACAGCAGCTCATCACTAACATCCACTGTGCTGAGCTGTTATCAAATCATTGATTACTTATTGTTAATGCTAATTAGCACTGATAAAACAAAGCTATTTGTACATATATTCCTGCTGCTGATCCTGTCCCTTTACAACACCTGAGTGACAGCAGACGTCCTTGATTGACATTTTAAACGCTAAAATTATGAATTAAGCCTCAACTTCCCCTGAAATAATCCCAAACGTCCGACAAGAAAGCAGCTGGACTGCTTACTAAGTGCTGCTTTCTTGTGTATTTCTGCAGCAGCTGCTCAACCAGAGCTGGTTCAAACAGGAAATCTAACCCGAGCAGAGTTTAGCCTGAAATTTAAAGTAAAAGAATAAACTGAGAGATTCGTTTTTTTACGGTGTTCTGAGAGGAATCTTTGCTCAGGAGATTAAAAAAAAAAAAAAAAGGAGGGAAAGCGAGTGAATGAGGGACTTGATGACATTTGTAGGAGGAGGATCTCAGCTGGCTGCCGCTGGAGGCTGAACTTCCTGTCTGTCCGCGTCCCGACGCGCCGAGGAACAAGTGCGCGCGCTGAAAGCCGAGCGTTCATTGAGCCAGGAGCCGCCGGAGCTTCACCAGTGATTCAGCAGGAGGACCGAGAGCAGGAGGAGAGCTGTGCCGGCGAGCCGCGCACCGGAGGAGCCTCTAAACCCGCCACAACTTCCCCCGTCTGCGCCGAAGCCTCCCGCTGAATTCGACTTTTTTTTTTCTCCCCCCGTGGATTTCCGTGGATGCGTGGAAGCGCGCTGGAGCTGTCCAGGGGTGTAGCCGCGGTGCGTCTTTGCGCTGAGCGACGGTGCATGTGAGGGAGGCGGAGGAGCAGCCGGAGTGGCCGAGCAGTCAGGAGGATGCTGGAGGGCAATGCCTGGAGAACGAGAGGATGAGATTTGTCGAAAGGCGCTGGAGCTGCTGTCCGACCTGTGCTCCAAGGGCGAGGTGCAGGACGACAACTGCCTGGATTTCATCTACTACTTCAGGGACCTGGCCAGACCGCGGTACACCGACTCAGGTCAGAACCCGCCGCCCGTCCGTCCGCGAGTTTACAGCAGGCTGGAGTTCAGTTTACAAACCGCAGAATCCGTGCGTAAAACCAAAGTTTACGCATTTTTAATTTCAGAAAAGCTCTGAAACCTTTTGATTCCATTTTATCCAAAACTTTCCCACCAACAGTTTAATGGATAAGCTTCTAATGTCATCATTCATTTAACATCCCCTGCTTTGTAAACTACAGATTGAACAGGTGTGTGCATCAGATGAGCTTCTTTCACCATAAATTTCCTGTAAAGGCAACAAGAGCGTGAACTTGTTGCTCCTCAGATCCAGATAATGTTGGTTTCTGGGAGCTCTGCAGCCTCCGTCCTCCTCCCTGCTGCTGCTGCTGCTGCTCTGAATGGAAGTGATGCTCTGGTTTCTCTTTCTACTCCAGCAGCCTTCAGAGAGAGAAAGCCCCACCCAGTAGCTCCCAGACCTCCCAGTGCTGAGCTGAGCAGCAAAAGCACAAAGAAATCAGCTGTTCTACAGCAGGAGGTGGATGTCAGGAGGTTTTTGATTTAAAAAAAAACAACAAAAAAAAAAACAGAATGAAACTGCATCTGAAAGTTTTAAAAAAGGGTTTCAATGCAGATGTTTAACTTTCAGTATCTCCATGAACACCAGAGAGGTGCAGCTGATGGTCGTGAAGGATCCCAGAGCAGATGTAATTCAGCTGCTCGTGTTCTGAGCGCCTTCGTCTGGTTCTCATGCATGTTGGTTTCAGCCGTTTAACATGTTACAATCCGTCATTAAACATGTATGACGGAGGAAGTTGGAGCTTCCAGACCGGTTCCCCAAGGAGCCGTGACCCACTTCTTCCTGCTCCGGATTCACTTTGATTCACAGCAAACAACAAGCAGCGTTCAGGAAACACCGACTAAGTTTCACAGCTTCGGCCACACGAGGAGCTTTTAGGACTCAGTCTGGATCCAAACCAGCAGAGAGTCCGGAGTTAGAGCTCAAGTCTTTACAGCATTCAGTAGAAAACCAACAACTGCATGTCATATATGAATCGATCTACCGTCCTGTTTCAGTACTTCACTGATAACATCTGGTGAAGTCGCAAAAAAGCAATAATTTACACGCAAAGTGCAAGAAAACTGTGCATTAGTGTCCACATGGAAACCTGCATCTTCACCAGAATGTGTGGTTGGTTGAAAAAACAAACGTATATTTAGGATTTAAAAAGTGACATATATATATATATACATATATATTAATGTTATTATACAAATGTTCCCTGTTTAGTTCAATGAAAGATCACATCCAGTAAAACTGCAGAAAAATGTTCACGTGTTCATATTTTATTTGTAAAAAATCTGTATTTTTACAAATAAAATATGAATTATTTTACCATGTTTGTAAAATTACACCGTTTTAATCATATTTGCTATTTAAAGAAAAGATGATTATATCAGAGACTGAAAATTTGCTAAATGTTTTATTATTATTATTATTATTGTTATTATTGAAAACAGTTATCTAATAAAATCACTGCATTTTTTACAAATTTATTTTATTAAAATGTCTCGCTGCAAAATGACACTTCATTTATTAAATCAGCTAAAAATGTTTTTATTTTAACTGATATTTGAAATTATGTGTGTTAGAGATTAAAGAAAAGCTAGATGTTCTTTTAACTTTTTTTTTTTTTTTTTACAGATTTTTCTGTTCTGTTAAAATCACAGGAGAAAAACCCCCCAAACATGTTCACTGTGAAATAAACTGAACATAACGTCCACAAAGAGACATTTATGAAAATATATTGTTTAAGTGTATTTAAATCAGCCAAGTCTAATTATTTTACAGGTATTTGTTTTTGTTTCAAAGACAGATTTTCTAGATTAAGAATGAAAAAATGGTTAAAAAAAAAAGATAATAAAAAATTTACTGTTTTTTTTTTTTTTAACAAATTGTCCTGTTTTCTTTAATTACAGATAATTTATAGTAAAATCACAGAAAAATAAGCATTAATTTACGTGTTATCTCTAAAATAAACTGAACATAACGCCCACAAATAGACGTTTGTTCTTTAGTTAAATGACATCGTTTCAGAGCATTAAAATCTGATCACATCATCCTGACAGCAGGTTTCTATTCGTCTCCTACGTGCAGCTGAAACGTTTCTGGTTCTGCTCAGAAACAAAAGAAACTCCACAAACCAGGAGCTGCTTTATTTCAGCGACCTGTGAGAAACACTTCCTGCTTCACGGCGCTGTCTTTAACTTTGGGTTCTGCTGCTGCTGGACCTGCAGGATTCTAGATGAAACCACAGAACATCTGAGTTCTGAGTCTCAGTGAATCTGCAGCTTGGTCCTCAGAGAGCAGGACGACGGCTTCGAGCTTCACTTTAACGTTTCAGAGCAAACGTGGACTTTCATACGTGGTCCTGGATCCGGGTCAGCAACTTGAGGACTTTAACAAAAACGAGCTGCCGAGGTTCTGTTGGTCTGTGAGACTCACAAGGATGTAAAATTATTCTAATGTCATGCAGAAGCAGCTCCGCCGGCTCGTTTCTCCAGGTGGTTTTCCAGCAACGCTCCCTCGCTGCTGCTGCTGCTGCATGAAACACATTCATCACTAATAAGTGTTAAACCTCCTGAAACCGTCGGAGCCCGAACCGAGAGGAAGGAAGAAAAAAATCTATAAAAAAAACTCTCTGGCAGCAAAAAGAAACACGTCAAAAAATGTTGAATCTCTAAAACTGTAAAAATCATAAAAACAGCAGCAAATGTCTGTAAAATAATTTGATTTTTAGATGATTTAAATTCAGTAAAAGTGTAAAAAGGTTGATGGTCACACATGGTAGAAGAACAAATGGCTGTAAAAAATAAATGAATTTACAGCCTACATGTAAATTAATACATTTTTCTGTGATTTTACTAAATAAAACAGGAAAAATCTGTAAAAACCAAAGTTTGAAAAGTGATTCACTATTTAATTTTAAATAACAGCAAACACCTATAAGATACGAAGACTTTTGCTATTTTAAATGCAATAAAAAAAATACTGTAGGATACTGTAAAAGAACAAATTAATATTTATAATATTTATTAAAAACAGATTTTTCAACAGTCGGACGTTATTTTCAGGTTTGGTTTGTATTTAATCCGTAACATACTTCATATTTATTTTAGGAAATAGCAAATACCTGCAACACAACATATTTAACTGATTTAAATACGATTAAAATGTGGAATGTTGTGGTCACACTTTTTAAAAGAACAAATGAGTGACTTTACTATAATACTTAAATATACCTGTTTTGTTTTTTCTTTTAAATGATGACAAAAATTTGTACAAATTATTTTTTCTGATTTAATTTTAGTAAAAATTAAAGTAGAATATTTTGGTCACACAGTTTGTAAAAATACAGTTTTTTTTTTTTTTTTTAAATTTGACATTATTTAGAGTTTCTGCCTGTTTTTGTTTGTTTTATAGTCAACATCTACATTAAAAAAATTTTTTAGTGATTGAAATGGTTTTTTAAAAAATCTATTATTTATGTAATTTTTTTCATTAAAAAATGGAAAATATCAGGAGGACACGGATATTTTTAATTGATTTAAATACAGTAAATAATAAGAATATTTTAATAATTTTACACTGAATAAATCACCATTTTGTAAAAATACAGAGAATATTTACAGTTTTGGCCGGGATCTTTAGACTCTGTTCAACGTGTAAATTAATACTTTCTTTTCTCTGATTTTATTTATTTTGTGTAATTTAGCAAAAACAAGGAAAATCTGTAAAATAACCGTAAATTCTTCAAAACACGTATTTATTTTTCACAGTGAGGACTTCCAGAGTGCAAAATAATCAAACCCTACAGCTGCTTCCTTCAGTAGTTTAGAAGTTCAGGTAGTTTATCGGTTGATTCTGTGTCGTTCCTTCTCACCTGGATGTCTGTTCCTGCAGCAGACGGCAGCTCAGGAGCTTCAGGTTGAAACCAAACGTAGTTTTATCCTCACGAGACAAACGTCGTCGATAATAAACCCTCGTCTGTAAACGTTCAAACGTTACCAACAGCAGAGGAGAAAAGTAGAAACCTGCAGACAGGTGGACAGTGATGGGAGGAGGAAGAGGAGGAGGAGGAGGAACAGGAAGCAGGTGAGTCGGTCAGAGGTCGCTGCAGGACAGGTGAGGAGGAGGCGAGGACACCTGGTGGACGGACGGAGAACTGCAGGGTGGAGTCAGCAGGCAGGGGTTCAGATAAAAAACGAGAAAAACATAAAAATCTGTAAAAGTCTGACAGCAATGAGGCCAGAATATATATATATATAGACTATAACTATAAAAGCTGTTAAACTGGTGAAAATAACAAAAAAATATGTGTAAAATGACATTTTTTGCAGATTTAAATTCTGTAAAACCGCAATTTTATGGTCACAAATTGCAAAATAACAAATTAAAAGATTATTTAGCGTTTTTCAGTCCTCAATGTACAGAATTGTTCTTTCAAAGGAGAAAACTTTCAAATGCAACACAAGTTGTTTTTGTAACTCCTGCAGTTCTTGTCACACATGGTGTAGTTTAAAAGTTATTTTAGGTGAGAAAGTGGTGGTATAAACGTCACATCTGTGGTCAGTGGATCAAGATGAAGCCGATGATTCTGGAGATGTGAGCGTCCCGGTTTGACAGCGGTGACGGCGGTCAGTGCTCGCTGTAGCCGCCGAGAGCAGCCTGATGTCGGCAGGACTTTCTGAAGTCTGCTGCTGGCTGTGACGGTTCTGTAGCGGCTAAACAGAAGTACAGAAGTAGTGCAGCATCAGTTACCATGACGATCCAGCGCTGCAGCATCAGTTACCATAGAGATCTGGATGTACAGCATCAGTTACCATGGCGATCCAGTGTTTGTAGTCCTCAGCTGTTTCCTGTCTGACAGGATTTGTGCAGGTCTGGTTCGTCTGAAATGAGCTGAATGCTAGCTCTGTTAGCTGTGTTAGCTAGCTAGCTGTGTTAGCTTTGTTAGCT